TATTTATTTATTTAATTTACATTTATTTAGTTATTATTTTTAAATTAACATTATTTTTGTAATTTCTTTTTAAAATGTCATTATTTTAAAACTTAACCCAAATTATTTAGTCCAGTCWGGAACATGTTTATCTATTATTAATTTTATTTTGCGCTGTGGCACAGTTATGACATACAACGCACGTTTTACACGTGATCCGGCTAACCCGCGTGGGTACAAAAGATCCCGGTGSCGACGCCATATTTTAAATAGTGTAGTCTACGTGGCATAAAATTATTGGGTACAGTTTATTAATTATCGGATTTTGTATTTAAAGATTCATTCGTTTTTCTATCATTATTATTTTTAATTTTAAGGTCCTTCAAACCATGTTGAGCATGAGCTATTAAAAACCTTGTTTACTTTTTTTTTTCCTTAGTCTTAGTTTAGAATTATTAAACAGTTATTTCATTATTTTATTCGTTTTCAAGATACTATAAAGCAATTTGTTAACTAAATTTTAAGATATTATAGTGCAGTTTACAGGACATAAAATAATTAGGATTTTTTTTATAATGCTTTATTTTAAACTTATTCCAAGTATATATMTCAACCACAWASTATTTCAAAAAATAATGTTTGAAAAATTATAGATCTCTTTGATCTATACCACTTCACAATTTTYGAATTGCATGACGTTRCTGACGCCATGTTTTTTATTTCTTAKTTTTTAATTCTARGATGTCGTCTCTGAAAAGATAATATATGTCAAAATTGAACAAATATTTCAAGCAATATTCACAAAGCCCATTTCAATTATTATATTTGGCTCCTATGTGATTTCAACGCCATAAATTTTTTTACTTTCTGCTCCATTGCAAAGGCTATAGTTGCCACGAGACAGAAGACGACATATCTTCTAAACGCCACTGAACAATGTTATAATAAGGTTATCATAGTATGAATCAATGAGCACGATTAAGAGTTATGSTTCGTTTGATAACATTTCTGTATTATGAGAAYGGCTACATTCAATTCGTCTTAATATTAAGCTTAATTTTATTTTTATTATAAAATATGTCACATCATTTTATTTTTTATATTCAAAAAAGAAAAAACAACCCGGTGAAGCTTCAGATCTCTATTTCTGCAAACTTCCACTTCGCGGGCCGGATGTACGGTACACAAGCATTGGGCTGGATTGTGGGGCCCATTTACTTCATGGGCTTGTCATGATTTTTGTAATAAAATGGGCCACAGCATCAGGCCGGTATACACAAAATGTTAAACGGTGAAAACTGAACCTTCACTCCACCTCCAACTCCAGTGGGGCCCACACTGTAGTAGTTAAAAGCACCGCACTTGATTTCAGTTACACTATAAATAGAAGAAATTGACTCCACGTCATTTTTAATACAGTAATGATGTAGCAAGCAATAAATAGAAGGAAGTATGATACTCTTATAGTACTAGAAAATTTTAAGAACCACATGCGCCCTATAAATTTATTTTTTCTCAATTGAATATGGAGTGTGATCTATACATTAAAAAAATAATAATAGAGTCGGGATTTATTACTATAGGTGGACCATCACCTAAACTTTATAATGTATRTATTATTGGTCAATAATATAACATAAATTTTCCATTGGCAAGGTGGCACGCCCTTGTCTAGCCCCTTCGATCAGATTCATCGTCTTGTGATTCTCAAACTATTTTTTATATATATAATTTGTCAGTTTTATAAACACATAAAGTTAAGTGAAACTTGCTTAATTTATCTATTTTAAAAAGGGAAAAAAATCATAAAATACGTGATTCAAAAACCTAATTTTTTAAAAGTAATTTTTTCTTTTAACACTTGTAAATGGTTCGGTCATCCTCTGCTATTTCATAACCTAAGGGATTTTATTCATCGAGGACAGTTCTAATGTATTAAATTAATAATTTATTTATGAATTTTGAGATTGTTAATTTGCCCTTCAATTTGCTCTTCTTTACTAATGTTAATTTGTAAACTATATATGAAAGGTGGATTCCAACCAAACTCTATCTTTATAAAATAAGAATTCTGGATTTAATTTTTTTTTCTTTTTTTAATATAACATGTGGAGGCAAGAGATCAAACTAAATTAGGTAGATTAATCAAAAGTAATAAAAGAAATTAAAAGTAACAACGTAATGTAAAGTAAACTGTAAAGACTGACTCAAATTATTTTTGTTTCTTAAAAAAAAACATTTTTGTTTGTGGAGAAAAAATAGAGAACAGTTGCGAATTACGCAGATTTTGGACAGGTTACCGAATAGTTTGGGAATTAAGCTACATCGTGAAGCACGTGTACACTCTGCTTCTAATATTTAAAAGTTAAAAAAAGAAAAAAAAAGTAAAATACACTATTTTTTAAAAAAAGTTTGGAATTCGTGCCTACTTAATTTTAAGATTTAAAAATTGAAACTTTAGTTTTGAGATTTGAAAATGATTCTTAATAGTCTACCTTAATATGATTAACGAAAAAAATAGCGTGACTGTTTGATCAAGTCTATGAAATTTAAATTTGTCTAGGCTAATTCTTCAAACAAGTTGAGGTACTTAGTAAGTAGGGAATAATAAGTATTSCTYAGTAAGTAGTTGGCCAATTTATACTTGAGAGGTAATATAGTTTGCGTATCTAAAAAGAAGGTGGGAGGTTTCTATTTAAAGGCGAAGCTTCCAACATGATTCCTGATAAGACTCCAACGGCTCTCCAACAGCTTGAGAAACATAGTACGTTATCATGGATGATGTCGAAATTCTATGTCTGCAGGAGTACACTTTGATTGTATCACTTGATAACTCACGCATTCAATTACATGTTTGAGTTCGGTTCAACTGATAGCTCATKTTGACTCGTCATTGTTGAGCATATCACATATCGACTTGTGGCTTGTGAGATATCACCTCCAACCGTGACAATTATCTATTGATTGACAATAATTTCAAATCTTCATTCTAGATYAAGTTTCTCGAAGAAGCAGAGAACGATGATCGACGATGGTAAGAGAGGATGGTGGCCGCTGAAATTCGTTGAAAAATAAGAAAGAAAAAAAAAGAAAGAATATGCTAACTCACTCTGTCAAATCATTAGAAATTAATATAATCTATTGACTTAATAAGTTTAATAAGCACATAACTACGACAATATTTGCATAAGTGACTAATTGTAAAACGAGAGACTAATAATCATTTTAAAATCTTTAAAACTAAAGTGTCTTTTTTTTTCTAACTCGAGGATCAAAATTTATAAAAAAAAAATATTTAAGTGAAGTAAGTATCTTTTTTATTAGTCAATATCATTAAATGTTTGACAACTAAGATATATGAATACTAAAACAAATATTATTGTTTAATAAATAAATTAATTTTTCATCCGTGGCGAAGGTAAGATTTGATTTCACTCATGAGGAACAAACCATTGAAATCATGAGTAGGGTGAAAGGTTTTTCAATGGGATACAATTTGACTATACTTATTTTATAAAAATAACCGTATTTTACGTTTTTGGAAGACTTTCCCTCCTATACAAAACCGGTTGTAATGAAAATTTCCTACTACGGCGGGTTCCGTGAACCATGAGGAAAGTAAAAAATGGTCCCCCTTCTCAACCACCCAGCCGAGCCATTTTTATTTTATTATTATTATTATTTTTCTTTTTTTAGGGTTAAAAGTTAAAAGCTTATAAATTACGAGGAGCACCCCGCGGCTGTGATGTACTATAAAACAAAAACACCAGAAGCGCCACTCTCTGCGTCCGTCGCTCATCTGCGATAATGGAAGTTGATGAGGAGGAGCCGCTATTGGTCAGTTCCAGGCGCACCGGAGGACTCAGAACTTTGCCTTCAATCATAGGTACAAAAAAGAAAACCTCCGGTTCATCTCTCTCCATCTCTACCCATCGGAAATAGTGAACAATTTGTTTTGTTTTTGTTTTGGTTTTGGGGGTTTGATTAATTACAGTGAATGAATCGCTGGAGAGACTGGCGAGCTCTGGGCTATCTTCCAACATGACGCGCTACTTGACCGGCGATTATGGAATGTCCGCCACCGCCGCCTCCTATGTTCTCTCCCTCTGGTCGGCGGCCAGTAATTTCACTCCCGTCATCGCCGCCTTTCTCGCCGATTCCTACGTCGGCCGCTACCCCATGATCGGATTCGGATCCATCATCTGCTTTTTCGTAAGTTTCTTCTCTGAAAAAACACTCCTACCTACGCTTCACCCACCATATTTATTTTGCCAGTTTAATTTTGATTGTCCCCACAACATTAATTAGTTTTATGTTTCCGGAGTTCCAATTTCCCATCTCACTATAAAAGGGGTAGCTCCTAATTCCTTCTCTACTGGCTGGGGACAGGGGAAGGAAGAATTTTGATTCGTGAAAACTCTGTCAATTTTAAATGGCTAGAACTAAAATTTAGCGATGGGGATTAAATTTGCAAAAGTGATACAAGTTTTGTTTATGAACGGCAGGGGATGTTGGTTCTTTGGTTAACGGCAGCAGTTCCGGGAGCAAGGAATTTTGTGGTTCTATATACTTCTTTAGCGCTGATGTCCATCGGAGCCGGCGGCGTGCGGTCATCTTCCATGGCCTTCGGCGCCGACCAGTTGAGAAAGGGCGGACGGAGCCTGGAGAGCTACGTTGCCTGGTACTTTGTGTCGGTGACGGCGTCTGTTCTGGTCGGAATGTCGGTGGTGGTTTATATTCAGGACAACATGGGATGGACGGTGGGTTTCGGAATTCCGGTTGTTTTGATGTTCTTGTCGGCGGTCTCTTTCTACCTTTCTTCTCCGTTTTATGTGAAGGAGAAGCCATCTCCGAGCTTGATCGCCGGCCTTCTGCAAGTCGCCGTCGCTTCTTATAAGAAGAGAGGCCTTCGATTCTCGTCAATGGAGTTTGATAATAATAATGTGATGTATCATAACCCACCTGGATCCACTCATCTCATTCCAACTCACAGATTAAGGTTTAATTCTTCACTTAATCACCTCTAAAAAGTTGATTAACTTATTTTTCAATCTAGCATTTGTGGTTGCTCACTTTTTTTTTATCACACACTTCCTCTGTTTGGATTTAAATTTTTTTTCCCTTGTTTCTAGAGCGAATATAAAAGGAAAATACTTAGTGAGGAAAGGTAGTGGCTCAGAACTTAGTTTATGAGGATAAAATAAATGTCTTTATCTATGCTTGGATTGGAGATATAATTCGATATGATTTATGTTTCCTATTGGAATTACATTTGAAATTTAGTTGTATTGAATAAGGTTGGTTGATATTTTAGACTGAATTAGAGGTTTTAATACTCAAATTGAACACACAAACTGTGGCTTAATGAGGCTCCTGGCGTTGCAATCATGTGATGAACAGATGTTGTTTGTTTGACAGGTTTCTAAACAGAGCATGCATAATAAGAAATCCAGGAACAGAGGTGAGCGTGGAAGGAAAGGCTTCAGATCCATGGAGTTTGTGCAGCGTAGAGCAAGTGGAAGGGGTGAAGGCTCTGATAAGAATAATCCCAATATGGTCGAGTGGAATCATTCTGGCAGTGGCGACCACGCCCAACGCTTTCCAATATCTTCAAGTAGCCTCAATGGACAGACACATAACTTCAAACTTCCAAGTTCCCGCAGGCTCCTTCGCCACATTTACAATGATTTTCATAACAATATGGGTTCCTCTCTACGATCGCCTCCTAATTCCTCTCGCCTCCAAAATCGCGGGAAAACCGGTTCGTCTCAACGTCAAGCTCAAGATGGGGGTGGGAATCGTCTTCATGTGTCTATCTTCTGCCGTGGCAGGCGTAGTCGAGAGCCGCCGCCGAGCCCTYGCTATAGAACAAGGATTCTCCGATGACCCACAAGCTGTCGTAACCATGTCTGCCTTTTGGACATTGTTCACCCAGGTATCAATTTCACTCGTTTCGTCAGTGAATGTTAAAATTGGATGGTAATAAACGAGAAAAGCTAACGGTCAGTAGCATTGTGCTCTTCATCATCAGTGGCCTGTTAAGGACCCAAATTTTCTCATGATATAATTAGTGAGTTAAGAAAAAGAACYAGGTAGAAATTAGGTCAATTTCACCGTAGAAGAAATTTAAAAGGTTTACAATTTATTTAAGTTTATGCAACTTAATTTGTTGGTAACTAATTTTAACATTTACCAACCAAACAAAAATGGCCTGAACTTAGTTAAATAGTATATATTGTGCATCTCGATACATAGAGTAGATTTAAGTCAGTTTAGTGTCTTTGCAAATCTGTCACTGCTTAAGCATGTATTTAACACACTCATATTTTGAACACTCTCTTCACTTAAGCATTAGGAAAAAACTCAACCATTCAACGGCGAGAAAATAATATTATTAAAATAATTTGAACGCACATTGATATATGTTACTTTAAATTTAATGATTTAATTTGTTGATATCATGAAGATGTTGGGTGGTCTAGCTGAAGCATTCAATGTAATCGGTCAAAATGAGTTCTATCTCTCAGAGCTGCCAACGGCCATGTCGAGCATTGCAACCACGCTTGGTGGTCTAAATATGTTCATTGGGAACCTGGTTGCAAGTTTTATATTAAAGAGTGTCGATGATCTGACAAAAGGTGGAGGAAAAGAAAGCTGGGTTTCAACCAACCTTAACAAGGGCCATTTTGATTATTATAATTGGCTTGTCTGTATTCTCAATATTCTAAATCTCATCTACTTTTTGGTATGTTCCAAGGGCTATGGCCCTTGCAAGGGGGAAGACGACTACAAAGATGATGTATCTTGCGGCCACGAATTCAACTAAGTGATGCACTTAGAAAAGTATATGTTTATATATCGTGGTTAGTAGGGGCCGAGCTAATTTAATTGCTTTTTAATGTACATTATAAATATAACATTATATTAGATAGTTAATTTTAATTGATATCAACACTTCTCCTTCCCTCTCTCTATCTTTTTTTTTAATGTATATCCATGGTTAAAATTTGTATAATTTATTTTTAGTTAAATGATGATTTTGTGTAGTTTGAATGTTCAAAATTTGTTCAAATATTGACATTTTGTTTCAAACTAGATATACCTTTTAAATTAATTTTAGTTTTTAGTAAAATATATAAATGGAACCATATTAGTTAATAATTAATGTTTATCATACTTTATTAATACATCATTTTTATTATTATAAAAATTGCACGACGAAATGAAACATGGCAATTTATTATAGCTCATCGTATGTCTAAAATATGTATTAATTTAGTCAAATGCCTTTTTTTAAGAATATAATATAAAGTATTATTTACGTTATTTAAAAAGATATATAAATCTGTGCAAATAACTAATAAATTAATAATTTACAAACGAGAGAATTCGAAGACATCAGACAGAATGTGGTTGCTTGTTATCTTGTCACGTGTTCCAATAATAAAATTTTCTTTTAATACTTTTGAATTTTAAAATAACATTAATGCCCCAGCATTAGCATAGCTAACCATTACTACGACCTTAAATTAAAAAATTCGAACTGTCATATCCCATTTATTGAAAAAAAAAATTAAAATAATATTTTTGTCCATATACTCCCAGAATTTTCTACAATGTTGATTTTGATTTTGTATTCTTAAAAAATAATCATTTTAGTATTTTTATTTTTATTATAATTTTAACTTGATATTTTACCTATTAAATTTTTTGAAATATAGTGATAAATGTGTATYCAAGATTTCCACGGTAAAAAATTTGTGAAAAAATTTTACAAAATATATCAAATTTATCACTTTTAGAGTATGGAAACGAAACCAAAACAGACAACAAAATAAAAAATATAAAAAATATAGGATGTAAAATACAGAAATCAAAGACCAAATAGTATCCAGACATAAATGAAATGATAGTGCATCTTGGAAAAGATATAATATTTATTCATTGATTTTATTTTTTGAAGCGTCATCTTGAAAAAGATATAGTGAAAAGAAAGAAAAATAAATAAATGGACAGGTGTTGGTCCAACGACGTCGTGAAAATCCCACACAGTGTGGAACATACGATTCAATTCCGCGTTCACTGTCAGAAGATGGTGGGGGAAGAAGGCCGGGCCACACTCTCGTGACTTCAAACGATTTGATAATGTCAGGAAACTTAACTCTTAAGTCTTCTAAATTGGTTCCCATTTGTGTTGTATGAGTGGGACAAATCAGTTGAAGATTCAATCAATGAACATCATTGTTTCGGCCGTCTCTTCAAACGACTCCGTGTTACTAGCGGCTTCTTCAATTTCTTTTGACTAACTAATTTGTTTTATCCCAAATCCATTGTTTCCGGCCCGCCAATTTCTCTCTGTTTCTGCAATGGAAGCTCCGTCGACTGCCGATGAGGACAGAGACATGGAGGAGCCACTGTTGAAGAGCTCCGATGGCAAGGGAGGCCTCAGAACTTTGCCTTTCATAATCGGTAATCAAGCGTAGAACTGATTTATTGTGTTTTGTTTGTTCATAAATTTGCTAATCTTTCTGCATCCTCACTCCTCAGCGAATGTAGCACTTGAGAAGGTCGCCAGTCAGGGTTTGACGCCCAGTATGATACTCTATTTGACTAGGGTTTACGGAATGGAGTCCGCCGCTGCTTCCACAGTCATCTTCCTCTGGTCTGCCGCCTCCAATTTCACTCCGATCATCTGTGCTTTTCTCGCCGATTCCTATCTCGGCCGGTTTCCCATCATCGCGGCTGGCTCCGTCGTCAGCTTTCTGGTACTCTCTTTTGTCTGTCATTTGCTGAATTGCTCTAATTTAGTACGATTTCTCCACTTGCGGTGATTTTCTAATTCTGACGGTTTCCCGCATTTCGAATGATTCGATTCATTTGCTTACTGATACTCCGTTCCATTCCAACTCAAATAATTAGCTTAAAGCAGGATTCATCTAGAGAATTGCATATTTCCATTCCTCATTTTGCCTTTCTGCAACAAAACATAATCATCGCGTATTTTCAATATACCCTACTCTTCCCTATAATTTGTTTCTTTCACGAGACAAGCATGCAGAGTCTGATTTGGGCATTGTTCATATATTATGCCCCCCATGAGATCATGGTGAGACCTGTATAATTAAAGAGGATGAGTAAATTGCCCATAAGAATGAATGTCTGTCTGAATCTTCAATTTCTCCAGGAAAGATCTTATGGAAAAGGAGAAAGAATCAAGGGATTCTTATTCATTATCTTTCGATGGTTTTGGAGAGCTGGGTAGCTTAATTATCTGTTTGTATTTTGTAATAGGGAATGTTTGTTTTATGGCTAACTGCGACAATTCCACAAGCAAGGCCTTTCTGTGATGAACTTAGTGGCCATTGCAACGCCCCGTCGACGCCCCAACTATTGCTCTTATATTCATCTTATGCATTAATGGCTATTGGATCTGGTTGCCTTCAATCATCCTCCATAGCCTTTGGTGCAGATCAGTTGTTAAAGAGTTCAGGCACTCTTAAAAATTATTTCAGCTTGGTTTATATGGCGCAATCAGCTGGAGTACTTGTAGGAATGTCGTGTATCGTGTATATTCAGGATCATGTGGGATGGGCGATGGGCTTTGGAGTTCCTGTTGCTTGCATGTTATTTTCTTCAATTGCTTTCCTCTCAGCCTCACCCCTGTATGTGAAGTCAATGCCTAGCTCCAGTTTGTGTACTGGTCTTGTGCAAGTCGTCGTGGCCTCTTATAAGAAGAGGCGTATGAAAGTACCATCCACAGACACATATGAAATCTACCACCACAACAACGGATCACCTCATCTCATGCCAAGTGACAAGTTAAGGTACAAGACACATGTTCTTTTCATCATTCATAATGCTATTTGCCAAATGCTCTTACTCTTACTTTTTTATTAAGGATGCTTGGACCCTTCTTTTGATTGTGCCAAAAAATATTATCATCTCGTCTATAGATAATTCCCATAACAACTACTTGACTCTTCATTTGCTTCTGTTCATTATACCACCGCCATCTATTTTGTTCTTGAAGCCAATTATGTTTTTGAAGTGGTACTCATTAAGATATAATGTTCACAGAAGCTATTAGACCAGCTATTTATCAAGTTAAAATTATCACGGATGCTAAGATGAATTCTTTTCCACTTTTTATGCATAAACTGCAAAATACTGCTTAATCTAGGCACAAACTTAAGTACAAACGATTGAATCCTTATTCAATACCTTCTGGCATTTTACATGAAATGTTCCACTATAATTTTTTTTACTAAAAATTAAAATTTGTATAGCTCATGATAATTCCTGAGTATTTGTTAAGATAGCTAAAAACTATTCGTTGAATATTTTTTCTTCATGTAGGTGGCTAGCATGAACAGTTCTCCCTTGTAATTAATCTTACTCGACTAACCCAACTCCCAACGTTGAGAGTTCAGTTTGTTAGTTTCTTAAGTATGGATGTACTCAGATTTGATAAGAACTATTTTTACCTTGTTTTGACTTTCAAGGTTTCTAAACAAAGCATGCATCATTAGCAATTCTGAGGAAGAGCTAACTTCAGATGGAAGGGCTTCAAATCCTTGGAGCCTATGCACTGTAGATCAAGTTGAAGGCCTGAAGGCGTTGATCAGGATAGTACCATTGTGGTCTACAGGAATCCTTGTTGCTGTAGGTGTGAATCAATCATTTTATGTTCTCCAGCTTGCATCTATGGATCGACACCTTACTCCAACTTTTGAAGTTCCTGCAGGCTCGTTTGGTGTAGTGCTAATCGTTTCTCTAATAATATGGATTATATTATATGATCGTTTGATCCTCCCTTTGGTATCAAAAATCAGGGGAAAACAAACTCGTCTAAGTCGGAAAACAAGAATGGGAATTGGGATCCTTTTCTGCACCTTCAGTTTGGTGGCAACGGCAATTGTCGAGACTAATCGACGTGCCATGGCCATAAAGGAAGGCTTCTCTGACGACCCAGAAGCTGTGGTAAGCATGTCAGCATTTTGGACGCTACCCCGTTACATCTTCTTGGGTATGTCGGAGGGTTTCAGCGCTGTCGGGCAAATCGAGTTCTTCTACTTTGAGCTGCCAAGAGCCATGTCCAGTGTAGCAACCTCTCTTTTTGGACTGGGTATGTCTGTAGGCAACTTGGCTGCTAGTTTTATAATGACAATCGTTGATAATTTCTCTAAGACAGGTGGCGGAGAGAGTTGGGTTTCAACAAACATCAATAATGGTCACTGCGATTACTACTATTGGCTGCTCTTTGCTCTGGTCTTTGCCAACTTCCTGTATTTCCTTGTCTGTAGCAAGTCTTATGGCCCCTCCAAGGAAGAAGCAAGTGATGAATCTAATGCTGAAGATGAAAACAATATTTTACATTAGTTTAGTTGTTATTATTTTGGTTTCTATAAATGAGGTTTAAGACCAACAATGAAGAGTATCTTGAGAGAATTTATACCACTGGACAATTTGGTTGTGATTGTTTATATGTATGATGCTGACCAAGTTTGACATTTTATAAACTGGGTTAGATATGTTAATGTTGTATTTTCTCGTATGAGAGTTTGAAGGTTTAGTTTTTACGATTAAACGTTGTAACAATCACTATATCGTGCCGTTTGTTGTAATTTGAGTGCAGATTCACTATAAAGGGTAAGATAGCACATTAGTATTGATCTGTTGTAAATATAGTTAAATAGTTGAGCTGATATAATTAGTTTAGTTTTTTTTAGTACAACATGTTGGGGAGGAAATTCGAACTCACAATTTCGACTAGTTTTTGTTACTAATTAGTTCAAATTAGATTGTATTTAAAGGTGGCTTATAAATACCACTAGTCTTGATCATTCATTAATGAGGAATTTTATCATCGATCAATATACTTATATTAATAACTATTAAACTAACTCAATTCATAGAAATTTCATTTATTCGAACTTAATCCAACCCAAATCCTTGAGTTAGGTTTAGTTGATCGGTATTTTCGGATTGTCTAATTTTTTAAACAACTCTATTTTAATTTTCATAATAAAAACTCACCTAATACATTAATTACACATGACATGATTTGAACAAAAGAGATATGAAAAATTACTACAACATGATATAAAATTGTTCACTTCTACACAGCAAGATTTTCATAAGATTACTATATACCACAAAAAAAAAAAAAACACATCATACATCTACTATGCTATAAACGAGTGATATTAGGGGAGGTTTCTTTCCAAAAATAATTGTGATTTTACGTTGATAGGAGGGAAACGTGTCGAACTCCATTAATGCCACATCACCGACTACGAACAGTTTCACAATATATATTCTCAGAAAAGTTTTTCAATTCTAAAATAGTATAAATAAAATGAAATTGATATACTTTATTTGATCGAATTAATATAATTGATATGCCACATAATGGTTAAACTAACAAATTATTAGCCGTCAAAATAAATCAATTCGATCCTCACCTCACATATTCAATTAAAAAAATAAAGTTATTAACGCATAAATTCGGTGCGATGCTAGTCCTAAGCACTTCAATACTGAAGTCTAATGTTACCCCGATATCTTTCCTTTTTAATTTCTTAGATTAGATGGGAAAAGTAAAATTAACAATTTGTATTTTTATGAATACATGTTTAATCTTGGTAGATTCCACCTTCCACAATAAGCGGCAGTCGCTATATCTTGACATTGCATTGAATATATTTTTTTTTCTTATTTTGATTTCGACATTTCATTGAATTTGATTGGTTTCGTTCAGTTCTTATTTTTCGACCTGCCTCTGCAGAGTAATGAGCGACTCTTTCAATAATTTTTCGAGAGAGAGAGTGGAATCGAGAACTGTCTGTGATTGTTGAAGGTCGCGAGATTGTTGGAGAGAATGGAGGTTGTAGAAAATGAGGAGAAGACAGGAATCGCCCAAAGCAGTAGCGAGGGAACCCATCAAGCTTCGAATTGCAGAACTGGCGGATTAAGAACAATGCCCTTCATAATCGGTATTCAGTTCGATTCCGTCTCTGATTTTAGTAGCTTCGCTTTCTAAATTAGATTTATGATGAGCTCTCTGTGTCTTTGTGGCTTTGCTTGCGTCTATTTCCGGCAGTTAATGAAACTTTTGAGAAGATCGCAAGTTTAGGGCTAACTCCTAACATGGTGTTCTACTTGAGGGACGATTACGGGTTTCAGATTGCTGCTGCTTCTAGCATTCTGTCTCTGTGGTCTGCTGCTTCCAATGCTTTGGCCATTGCTGGAGCTGTTCTGGCTGATTCTTACGTGGGGCGTTTCCGCAGTATAATTCTCGGATCCTTCAGTAGCTTTCTTGTAAGCCTGTTGATTGTCGAAATTGAACTGTTTCCATTGATGTAATACTAATACACTTTTGGTTAAGAAACACATTACCCTCGTACTTTCATTAATTTAGTTCCTAAACTTTCTGTAATAACTTAGTCTTTTTGTAGTTTAAAATCTTAGTTTGATCGTGAAATACAAAATTTTTCATGGTACGGGCTAGATTGTTTATAAATTTTGAACTACAAGAACTGAGGAACTAAATTATGTGGTGTTTAAACGTTATTTTTGTTGTTTCGGAAAGGGGAGCTTTTTAATACATCACTGTTGTGTGGTATAGTTAAAGAACTGCATGCTTGGGTCTGGACTTTTGCTGCTTGCTTGTTTTGTGGTATAGTTAAAGAAGACTTATAGGATCAATACAGAGCATATGAACCTCCAAGACTCTCTGGGCCTTAAATCCCCTTGCTTGTGTCATTGATCACTTGATAGTTTGAGTTATATTTTATATAGAACTTCTTTTAAGGACAAGCTCTATATTTTGCTCCAGCTGCGTGTGTAAAATTATGTGGTTTGCTTTATTTCTTCAGGGGATGGCTCTATTGTGGTTAACAGCAATGATCCCACAACTGAAACCTTCATCTTGTTCATCCTCTGGAATATTGTGCGACTCTGCTAATCCGTACCAGCTCGCGATACTGTTCACTTCGTTGGGATTTATTTCCATTGGAGCGGGTTGCATTAGACCATGTTCTATCGCGTTTGGTGCAGACCAACTCACCAATGAGAAAAAGCCCAATAACGAGGGTGTCTTAGATACCTACTTCAATTGGTATTATGCATCAAGTGGGATAGCTTCAGTTATCGCATTAACTCTTATTGTGTATATTCAAGATGAATTTGGATGGAGAACTGGATTTGCAGTTCCTGCGGTTCTCATGCTTTTTTCTGTGCTAATATTTCTAGTGGGTTCTTCTCTATATGTGAAAGTGAAGCCTACACAGAGCTTGTTAACTGGGCTTTTACAAGTAATTGTGGTGGCATTTAAGAACAGAAGATTGTCGCTCCCTTATAGTAACTATGACCAGTACTACCTTGGCCCTGATCCGAAGTTCCTTGTCCCAACTGATTCTATGAGGTATGTATCTCAATGTCATGTTCGTCACTATTGTTATGTTCTTGAATTTGCCATATTATTTTCTGCTGAGAATTATGTCCTGATGTCTAAATCATTGCCTGTGAAATGAGATTTCCGTTCTGCACTTTTTATTGAGTCATTTTCAATAAATTATTGAATTATTGTCTCGACTCGATAGTCATTGAATCATATCCATTAGATGAATTGCTTCTTAAAGTAACTTAAAGTTGTCTTTCGCTTCAAAGTTACAGGTTTGTGAAAGTTTAATAAGAGAGAGGTGAGGGGATTTGAACGTCCCACCTTTAGGGAGATAAATAATGTCTTGACTAGTCGTGTGATGCTCAAATGCATAATAATTTTTAACTTCTACAACCTATTCAAAAGTAGTTAAATACAGTTTTGATAAACAAAAACAGAAACTCATGTCCAAAGCAGCTCCTTTGATTCATAAAAAGTAACACTAGGCACTCTTGATTTATCCATTTACTATTGACAATGTCACAATTCCCAGTTATGTTCCTAAGAAGATGAAAAGTCTTATCAGCACAATTCCCCTTCCTTCAGGTGTCTTAATAAAGCCTGTCTTATAAAAGATGCTGAGAATGATTTAAATCCAGATGGCTCAATATCAAATCCATGGAACCTGTGCTCTGTGGAACATGTAGAGTCGCTAAAAAATTTTCTAAGAATCATCCCAATGTGGTCAACAGGCATTCTCATGCTTGTCTGCTTAAATCAAAACTCATTTGGCACACTCCAAGCCAAGACTATGAACAGGCACATCACTGGTAGTTTCGAAATCCCCGCAGGCTCAATTGGTGTGTGCATGATTATTTCTTTATCCGTGTGGCTTGCCTTTTATGACAGAATAATGGTGCCTTTATTGGAAAGGTGTGGTCATGCTGGGGGACTCAGTCCTAGATTGAGGATGGGAATTGGTCTGCTTCTCTCGTGCTTTGCAATGGCCATTTCAGCGGTCGTTGAAGGTACAAGGCGTAGAATTGCCACAGAAGAAGGTCTAGAAGACCAACCATATGCTGTCATTGACATGTCAGTTCTATGGATAGTGCCTCAATGTGTAGTCCTGGGAGTTGCCGAAGGTTTCAATGCAATCGGACAGATCGAGTATTTCTACTCGCAAATGCCGAAGACGTTGTCGAGCGTGGCAGTTGCTCTATACACGGTTGAGATGGCTGTAGCTAGCTTGGTGGGAAGCGCTCTTGTGCAGATGGTAAATGGCATAACAGGAAAAGGAAATGAAACAAGCTGGTTGGATAACAATCTCAATAAGGGTCACTTGGATTATTTTTACTGGTTATGTGCTGCCTTGGCTTTGATGAACTTTGTTGGTTATCTTCTATGTAACAGAACTTATGGATTGTCTGAGAACAGACGATGCAATGAATCAAATGAGGTACAAGACTTTGAGTATAGGAAATTACCTTCATCTTAGAGATGGAAAAGATTGCATTCTTCTTCAGATTTGGATGTACCATAGGACCATAGGTCCATAACTATGATATTCAGCTGCATTTGAATCTTCTCTTCATTTATGCTTTTGACTTCAACTATATTTCTGAGCAATGTGAGCATCCTTTTATTTCCTTTATTTGGAGATAGTCTCATTTTGGTATCTTTTGGCCCATTAAAGTTTGCATTCAAGGTTATGCATCACCATAAGATTCTAGTTTCCCTTTCTAGTACTATTAGAAACATGATCCTTTCAGAGCCACCGCTAATAATTATTATTATTGGTCCATTTACTTTGAAATTTATTTCGATTTAGTCGCTGTACTTTCCTTTCAAATGTCTGGACATTTAGCCTTTGTATTTTCAATAGACCTTATACTAGTTTTCGTTAGTATTTTGAAAGTTAATTTTTATCTAATTTGGTAAAATTAGATAATAATAATTTCCTCCAGAAAAGACGCAAACACGATGTGAATGTGTTTGAAAAAGGAGAAGGTTGAAATCACTAATCTCTCTATATATCTAAAAGGTTGAAATCACTAATCTCTCTATATATCTAAATATTTGTGGTGTTGAAAACTCTCAGGTAAATTTAATTCATATATTGGATATCTAAACGGGAGGAAGCAACAATGCAGGGTTCGAATAGATAAATACCAATATGAAGTAAGCCCTTGCCTCCGCTCGCGATCCGATATCTTTTCCGTGCAAAACCCCCTGCAACTGCAATAAGACCATTCCCATTACAATCT